GAGGGTGTTGATGCAGATCTCTGAGTCCCACCCCCAGACTTTGACCCCATAGGCCTGGAGTGGGCCTGAGAAGCTGCATTTCTAGTGAACAGTACTGACTCTTATCATCTTAGACTGTCTACTGCATCCCTGTTCCTTCACTGAGCCTCACTGGCCTGATGGATCCCTAGGAAGCAACTTCTGCCCTTTCACCCCAATAATATTACCTTACCCTTTAATCTTGATAATGTCCTCTAAGGTGGATACCATGAATTTCCCCAAAGATGATGAGACTCACAAAGGTTATCTGAATTGTCTAGGGATGACAAACAATAAGAGCTCCTATAGCACTTACTAAATGCCAAACATTGTCCTACATGTATTAAATCTTTTAATCCTTACCACAGCACTATGAAGTCTAAGCTAATATTATTACCTCATTCTATCCTTGGTAAACTGAGGCAGGGCACGTTTCAGTGACTTACCCAAGGTCATGTATGAAGTGGCAGAGGTGGGATTCAAACCTGGTATTCCAGCTAGTTCCACTGTATATACTGCTGTGAAACGCAGCCTTTTATTCAGTCATCTATCTACCTATCAGTGATCCAGTGATTGATCCATTCATCTACCCATCCATCCTTCCATGATCCATCCATTCATCCATGTTCCATCATCCATCCATCCATCCATCCATCCATCCACCCAACCATCCATCCATCCATCCATCCATCCATCCATCCATCCATCCATCCATCCATCCATCCATCCATCCTTCCTTCCATGCATCCATCCATCCAGTGGTCACTGGCCATCCATCTAACACATATATTTTAACTAAGAACTAATATGCAAAACACAGTCCCTTCCCAGAGCTCATAGTCCCTGGAATCCTGTGGACTACCCGTCTTACTCTATAACCATGCACCCAATGAGAACACTTGGGGAAACCAGATTTGGGATCCTGCTGATTGGGCAAAAGTGGATGTGACAGGCTTCAAGATCTGTTCACAGGATTGCCCATATAGGTACCACCTGTATCCCCATGTACCAGACCCCAATATCTTTCCTTTGTGAGAATGAAGTCACTCTTAACAAAATAAACTTTTATTGCAGTGGTCATAGCTCTTGGTGGGTATGTGTGAAGTGGCAGGAGGGAGCTAGGAGGCCAGGCTCCTGACTGTAATGGAATAAATCCCTTCTCGGCTTCTCTGGCTGCTGCTCTGATCTGTTAATGGGGCCCAAGGGAGGGCTCGGCCAGGGCAGGAGCAGACGCTCTCCTCCTGCATTGCCTAGGGTGCTCAGGAATCCGCTCCAGCCTCACCTGTCGCAGGCTCTCACCAATTAGCCTCCCCTACCAGGGGCCATATGACCTTGGAATCTGCTCTCTTGGCCTCTGCCGTCCTGTGGGACCCTCCTTCCTCCTCCTCCTTGTCCTGTAACTACCCTGTGGTTGCAGCTCAGATGGGGGGTAATGCCCTCGGAGGTTGTGCTCTGGTCAGGGGCCTGCTGCAGCCACAGTTGCAGGCAGGATTTCCATTAAAAATATTAGCATGAAATAACACCTGACTTTGAAATGCTTTCCTTTTACCTGGTGCCTTCACACCTGTTGACTCACCTGGGCCTCATGACATCCTGTCTTGCAATTTTACAGTTGAGGAAAACGAGTTTCAGAGAACAGGAAGCGCCTATGCCAGGCTGTATAGCCGGGAAGAGCTGAGCTGCCATTTGAACCCAAATGCTGTGTTTTCTTTCCACTACTTGAGTGTTAAAAACACAACCCCATTGCACTGGCTTTCAGGAAACAAGAGAGTGAGGCTACCTCATGTCACAGCTGGGGGACCCCAGCAGCCACCCAGACCTGGGCTGCACCTGGTCAAGGGCCTTGATCAACTTCATCATCTGGTGACTCATTCAGAGGGAGAAACTGAGGCACAGGAAAGCCTAGGGGGTGAGCTACCACAGTCCCTGGAATCCCAGCACCCTTAGAAGCCCCAGCTGCAGGCTTTGACTTGTTTGAGCCTGGTGACAACGCCACGAGGTGGGCAATGTGGGATGAGAGACAAGTACCGGGAGGAGACCCAGAGGGGCCTCCTGAGGGGTTCTCCCAGGCTGTTAACTTCCAGGCTGGGCTGTCCTTGCTTCCTTCCATGAGAACATTCCTCCTGGGCCCTTGCTGTGCACAAACTCACAGGTCTCTGACTGGCTTCCTCTGAGCAAGCAATGAATCTGTGGAGCCATTGGCCCAGGGCTCACTCTCCTTGTAGGTGCTTGTTTATTTATCTGCCTGGTTCATACCTAGGCAAGGAGAGGAATGGTCTTTGGTAACTGACCACTCAGAAGCACAATTCTGGGGATTGAGCACCTCCCCGGGTCAATGAGTGTATTTATGTCAGGGCAGGTGGGAGACTAAAAAATGGGCAGCCTTGACCCCAGCCTCAGTTTCCCTCTCTGCAGAGCAGCCTCATCTCCTGGGAAGAACGGATCATAAGAGACAAGGGCTATTTGCTGATGGCAGAGGTCTCTGCAGCAGAGATTAGGGCAGAGAAAGTCAGGGGTGAGGATTTCCTATGAATCGGGGGCAGGAACATGTGAGTGTCTCAGGAATTCCTGGTCCTACCAGGTCCTGTGTTATATCCAGCAGGGAGAATGCATCGGCATCCTTCCTTTTGCAGGTATCCCCCACTTTTCAAAAGTTCACATTATGCCACTTTGCTTGTCCATTTCGCTTTTGCAGCAAAAGTCAAAAAGCATTCAGTATTTATTTTGTAGGGAGCCTTTATAGAGGCAGCGGCACCCCAAGGGTAAGGGTGGCTCCCCTAGGCGTCTTCCCCAGGAAATACTTTATACCAGCCATGTCTTTATCAAATTCTTCCTGCTTTTACTGTGCTCATGTTATTTTAGATTTTGCATGGTATTTGACGTGATTTGGTAGATTGTTTTTTGGGTCTGGGAACACTCAAAAGATTTCCATATAAATGAATGGTAATAGCTTCCTCACTCTCTGCCACTTTGGCTTAGCAAAGTTTTCACTGGAATGCTATGCTTTCGACTATCAGAGGAAGCCTGTATCTGGATTTTTCTTCCTCTTTTCTATCCATCCATTCACATTCCACCACCTGTGCCCTCCTTTATTTTCCTCATTTTAGGAAAGAAAAATAAGGATCAGACTAAACCTTAAAATCTTCCCCTAACTCTGACACTAAGAGGTGTTGGGGGGGATGGAGAGGGTGGGGGTTATGTTTGGTCTGGGCTGTTAGAACCAGATCTTGCAAGAGAGGCCAGAGGTGATCAAAGGCATGGGGCAGACATCTGTTCAGCATGTGGCCACCCAGGCCTGACACTCTCCCTGCTCTGCCCACATGGCCCCTCTATGATAAAGAGAGAGACTTTAGAGGTCAGAGAGGTCAGAGACTTTAGAGGTCAGAGAGAGACTTTAGAGGCTCAGCACTTTGGGTGTGCTGAGATGGACATTGCCTGCCCCTCCCCCTTAGGGAGGGTACTGAGGAGCCCCGAGGTTTCAGAAAGCTCAGCATTGGACATTTGCATACAGCTTGGCTGGCAAGCGCCTGCCTACCAGCTGGCCAGATGCTTTTTCCTTTGGCTGGATGGAAGCCTTTAAAAAAGTGACACCTTGTATTTTATTTCACTCCTTTCTCTGAAAAGTCCGAAGACATTTATAGGCAAGAGCTCTATAGGCTTTATGGAAGCCCATCAAAACGTAGGGGCTGTTTCCTTCATCTTTATAGAGTGGAAAATAAAAGCAGGAGAAGACGGAATAATGATTCTAAGGCCACACAGTTCTTCGAGAAAGGGGAATCCAGTGTGGATACCGATGGCCTGGGACTGAAAGGACTTGGTAGGGAGCCTTGGCGACCCTTCATCCATCCTCATCAGGATCTCAGCTACTTCCCCAGCTCTGGGACCCAGCTGCGACCCTCTGCTTATGGGACCTGAGGCTTGAAAATAAGCAGAGAGAGACTTAGCCTGAAAACAAATGAAAAGATTCAGCCTGAAATACTGCTATTGGGGACAACCCCAGAGACTTTTCCTGTGGGTTCCCAACTAAGGAAATCATCCTGGAGTCAGGAACAAGACTTGGTTCAATTTGGGGAATATTCTTTATAAGGAATGTTAATAGTTGTTTGGGTTGAAAATAGTCCAGAGAATAAAATGTTTGGGGAAGGCTGTGAGAATGTTAAACATATTTCTTCTTAAAGACCTTTCAGGACTTGCCTGTAACTAATCATTATGAATCCCTTAAAGAGTGCTAGAATGTGCTATGTTTTCACAAATTGCTATCTGAGGAACTCTTTTATGGTAGAGTATGTTTGGGGAGCTTGGGATCCATAGAATGCACTTTGGGAAATGTAGGTCCAGGAGTGACAAGGCCAGGTCTGCCCTTCTTTGTGATATTCTAACAGATCCAGGGAGCCTGAGACTGGCATAGTAAGGCACCACTCTGGTTAGTTGAGTTCATTTGTGAAACTTCTACCTCTCCCATCCCTCCTTTCCCCAAATGATTATCTGTTCATGCTTCTGTTATGATATTGTCATTCATGTATTAATGTTCTAGTTCTCTGTCCTATGTCTTTGAGTCCTCATCTGCATGGCTGATCAACAGTAAGAGTATAGATGTGGAAACCATATCCCTCTTAGTGGAGTCATCTAGAGAACCTGCTCATGGATGTTGGTTCAGGACACTACCGATGTGATGGTGATGATGGGTAATCCAAGCTATCAAGATGGCACCCACAGGGGTTTGAGGAGGGGCAGAGAGACCATGCAGTATGATGAAGGGGAGTCTAGAATCTGTGATTTTTTTTTTGCCATGGTCCTGCAACTTAAGCAACTGTTGAAAAGTCATCTTGTTTCTCTGGAGTTGAGTTTTTAATGTGCAGAAAAGGAAGGATTTATACCAGATGTCCATCTCTAAGCATTCTTCTAGTTCTCTGGTTTTCTAACTCAGTATCTCTGCCAATTGCCTGATGCTCCCCCTAATGTTCTTCCTGTATTATTTTCAGCTCCTGACCATTGACGATAACTTCTGTGGCCTGGATATGAACGCACCCCTGGGTGTGTCCGAGATGGTGCGTGGTATTCCCGTCTTCACGGAGGACAGGGACCGCATGACCTCGGTCATCGCATACGTCTACAAGAACCACTCTCTGGCCTTCGTGGGCACCAAAAGTGGCAAGCTGAAGAAGGTAGGAACACTGTGCTGTCATTCTGGTTATTGTGAAGACAGTCTGTCCCCACTGGGATGGATTTTACCTCATGCTGTTCTAGAGCTTTGGATCTGGTGGGCAAGTGATACAGGTTTGAGCCACGGAGATATATTGGCATTGAGATCATGAATGGTGGCTTTGTCCCTTCTCGCCTTCATAGAGAGAGTTGTGAGAATCATGGGGGTGTGTGGATTCACCTTTTCCCCAGTGACTGGGTGTCACTCCTCGAGTGACACGAGATGCCATCTAGATGACATACTGTCCAACTTGGACTTGTGCCCTATGCAAGGGCTTTATTAGGTCTGTGTCATAGGGGAAAGCTGGCAGGGCAAGGAATGTTTCCACCCTTCTGGCTGAATCCTCCTGGAATCCATTCAGGGAAGCAGATGGAGAAAGCACAGGACCTGCTAGTTGCTAATGGAGCTGAGAGCCAAATCACAGGATGGGGAACCCATGGATGTTGGGGGAGCTCAGAAATTGCTCCAGGTAGAGTAGAATGGTGTGATGGGGACATGTGCTTCCTCCTCATTCTCCAGGGGCTTGCTGGTTTTAGGGTCCTGGGTGACCTTGGCCTTTCAGCAGTGTTAAAGACACCAGTCCATCCAGGACTATTCTCTCACTCAGTGGGAGATGGGTTTCCCACATCTCAATGAGTTGGAGCTGGCCCTAAGGAGTCCCCTCCTTGATTGGACTTAAAGTGTTTCTAAGACTGTAGGCAGTAGGTCCTGGTATCTTTTGGCTGAAAACCACACTTCAGGCTCTTCCCGTGGAAACTGGGCGACTCCGTGTGGGGGTCCTGCTTGTCTTATCAATGCTTCCCTGGAACTTCTCTGGATATTGTGTGATCCAGACTGATAAAGTAGCAATGCCTGATTGTAGACTGAGTCTTGATCCCTATTTTCTCTTTGCTGTATTTCTGGACATTAGCCCAAAATGGTCAAGGGGGAAATGTTCTCTACAGATCTAGAAGGCTGTGCTTATTCTTCCATCCTCGTATGACACATCTGGTAATTGTTGCCTTTGGTTACATTGCACATCTCTCTGAAAGAGGCAGTGAGTGTGGGGAGTATTAGAACTGGGTACACAGGATTGCAAATGTTAACGAAACGCCACAGCACCCCACAAAGACAATGCAGGCTACGTGCTCTAGGACTAGTATTGCTCAAACCTAATCATTACACCACCCTCAGTGTACAATTCACAAATAATTTAACCACTGTCTATACACCTTTAAGAATTATATTCCATACTTTCCCTGCCTCTCTGTGAAGAATATATTCAATGCCATTGAATGTTTTCTTGCTGCCTTCCTTTGTGTTGTGATGATGGCTCACCTATGAGCTGCCTCATGGGTGCCCAGAGAAGGTGCTGTAGGTATAGGTGTGTTGTCCCCACATGATTCCTGTGTCAGAGTGTCCAGGATTTTCCAGCTCTTCCTTTGGGGACATTGTCACTCATCACTTCCTTGTGCTGTTAGGAATCCCGGTCAGCTTTCTCCTTCCTCCTCCCTCATGCAGCTTTAGGTGAATTAGGAAGCCAGATACCCAAATTGGCTGAAATTGTGGCTAATGGGTGTTCAAATAAGTGGAAGACAGAAGTGTACCAGCTCTAGGGCAGGCATGTTGAGGACATTTCTGTTGGTTTTTCAGTTAGCTTCGTTCTCCAACAGGATGTGAGTCTGGTTTGCTGGCAGAATGAATTCAGATCTATGCCCAAGGTCTTCCCACATACAGTTCAGATAAGCAATGTCTGCTGACCAGCTTAGTCTGGCCTAAGGGGTGAATAAACACTATTGAGAGTAAATAAGTAAGCAAGACAATTTGGGGCTCATTGCCTCTTTTCTCTGGTGAATCCAACAGAGAAGTAACTTACTCTAATGCACTGGAAGATTCTGATCCACCTGGCTTCCTATCAGGTGTCGGAGGATAATTTACTTGCTGGCAAAACTGAGTAGACCCTGGAGGGTGAATTTTTGGTGTGCATATCATTGACTGGTTGAAACGGGTTTCGCTAAAATCAACATGGAGACCTCAGTGCCTGTTACAGAGCAGGGAGCTACATTATGTTGGAGGAAAAAAGACTTATTTCTTGGCTGTGACTACATCGTAAACCCAACATAGTCAACTTGCAAACTGGTGCTGATGGTCAGCGGGTGGATGGGGGCCAGTGGGGTGCTGACTGTCTGTCCCCTTGGAAGTTCATGTCCATGAGTGTGGGGTGAGGGAAATTCAAGAGTCTGGACAAGCAAAACATGCAGAGACAACCCTTCTGGGGAAGGTGTTGACTGAACCTTGCCTTGAGGTGTCCCCAGAGGTTAGCCAGCCTGGCAGGACCCGGAGGCTTGGGGCTTTCTACACTGCAGGCTGGCATTTCCCATCTTTGGCTTCGGGAGGGAGGTTATATGAGAACAGCTATGTTTCAGCCACCTGGGACATTACATTTAATTTCCAGCGCCATGGTGGCACTGGTGGAGCATAAACATTTGAGAGGTAAGAGCAGAGGTCACACTGGGGGGGAATGAGCTGGCGCCCTCCTGGGGAAAGCTGGGCCATCAAGGCAGCCAAACTTTCTGCTCCACCAGCCTAGAGTGGCAGCCTGTTTAATAGTTTTGCTGGAGTGCAGCTCCCGCCCCTGCAAACTCAGCACAGCCGGCCCGGGGGACAGTCCGAGTTGTGGAAGGAAGGCTGTGCCGCCGACTCTGTTGTTTGAAATAATAAAAAAGCATAACTGGCCAGTTTATTTTTTCTGAACAATAGATTTTCCCACCAGCTCTGCTTGCTCTGCACCACTCCCCTTTCCTTGTAATCACTCTGTCTTGCTTTTCCCAGAGGTTATCAGGACCAAATTCACCCTTTGAGCAGAGGCCCAGCCATGAAAAGTCTGGGGCAGCAGGAGGGTTTTGCAGAAAGTTTTGGGAGCGGCTGGAACCAGGGGTGAGAAGAATGGAAATCACACTGTAGCTGTAATTGCAGAGTTGGTGTCCCTGAGCCCTATAATAATCTCCCGTGCATATCAGTGGCCTTATAGAATTCTTTGCAATGCGACGAGGGACTTGAGACAGAGAAGGTGGGTGGGAGGGGGCTTGAGGTTTTGCTGAGAGTCAGGGGTCCAGAGCCAACTGTAGCTACCCATAGGCTGCCCTCCAAATTACTGACTTTTTGTTTAGTTTCAAAGGTGTCGGTCTCCATCATTTGCAACCTGGCCTCTGATGACCAAAATTTCCTTCCTTTAGTGCACAGATCACATGAGGCAGAGGGGAAGGAGGTAGGAAAGAATAAATTTGGATATCTTTTCTGTTTTCTGATGCGTGTGTGTTACAACCGTTTTTGGCAGCCTGTTCCATGGTGACTGTCAAAGGTGTGTGCTCTTAAAAATATGTGGCATCTAAGTGCTACAGCCAGCAGGAAGGGACATGGACCTTAGACAGAACCCAGGGATTATTTCAACTACAGGAAAAACCTTAAGACAAACCCATCCTGGTTTGCTTTCGGGTGTCTGTATAAATCTGGAAACCTTTGACCCAAGTTGGGGTAACTAGGTCAGTGTTGCCTGGGAAGAACAAATAGCTTTAAATATTTTGGCCTGAAGTCCACCCCCTCTATCTTTCTCGGCCTCTTAAATTCCTGCCACTAAGTGATCATATTTTATGGCTGCTGTTCAGCAATGAATTACTGCCTGACATTAGTGCGAGAGATGAATGTTCATTGTGAACCAAAACATCATAAACTTCCACTCGAGGTGTGATTGCTCCTTTCATTTTGTGATTGCATCTTTCCTGGGTGTTTTGCTTGGTTAACTGTTCAACCTAAGAGGCCAGCCACTTGGTGGATATTGGTTAAGCAGACTTCTGGCTGGCCCTGCTATTGCCTTGAGTTGGAGCCACACTGTGGGTGTGCACATCACACACCACGCCAGCCTGTACTGGTGGGGCCTGGGGGGGTGTCAGCCTGGCGCCTCAAGAGGAGTGGATAACACAAAAATCATCCCTTTGGGGCATTGTCATGTCAATCAATTTAATTTTTCTAATATTTTTCTTAAGTCTGTTTTGAAATGGATGTGTTTGTAGACCCTCATTGGGATTCAGAAGGGCAACCAGTCAAAAGTGGAGTGGGATAGAGGAAGACCTATGTGGGGCTGTGTTGTTCTGACCACAAGTTCTCAAGAATGGGTGGGGTGTGTGTGTGTGTGTGTGTGTGTGTGTGAGATGCTTGAGTCACAGAGAGCAATATGAGACACGCTTTATATCAAGGAAGACTTTTCTTAAGAGATGTTTTCCGAACTTGGTAGACAACAAAAATGAGCTATAAACTGAAAATAGACAAAAATGATAAAACAAGAAGAGATATTCATAACATCCCAGTGGGGGTAGCTTTGTGTTTCAGAGCCTCTGGTTGGCCAGGTGTTGGGGTGCTTGGAATGGTGACTCATTGTTACAGAAAGGAAAGCAGAGTGATGTGTATGGCATGTTGGGAGCTGCTGGGGAGATGGATTGGTTTGGGAAGAGCAGAGTTTTGAGAAGATTCAGCATTATCCATCTTTCATGCCCCAATATTACAAGAGTGACTCTTAGCCACAGGCACCATTATGCTGGGTCCCTTCTTTGCAACTTCCGCCATGTACCTGGGCATTCATTATAAAAAGTCATCTAGAAATTTGAACTGACTTTAACAAAAAAGAAACTCACACCATGGACAGCTCTGAGGGTACTGGAGGCATCAGGAAATCAAATGGAGACACAGTGTTGAACTCCAACTGACTGGGTACCTGGACAAGAATAAGAGGCCACCATGTCTTTGGTGTAGACTTTGGTCGCTCTTTGTTACATTATGAGTTTTTCTTTCTTTCCTTCTTCCTTCCTTCCTTCCTTCCTTCTCTCTCTCTCTTTCTTTTCATTTTTTTTTTCAATCAGAGCTGCTGCCTGCTTTGCTTGTGGCTAGACACACAAGCAGAAAGGAAAAGAAATATCAAAGAATCAAGAT